GACCGGTGCTTCAAATGGGGCGATGAGATCGAGTACGTGATCGTCCGCTTCGATCACAACAACCAAAAAGTTAGACTCAGTTTACGTTCAAAACAAATACTCGATGTTATGTATGAGAGAGAAGAGAAAGAGGGGGCGAACCGTCGGGTGCTGTGGAGACCAGAGTACGGCTCGTTTCAGATCGAGGCCACACCCGGACAGCCGTACGGATATAATAACGAACTGAATGGCGAAAACTCAATGAATAATGTGTTTAATAACGTAGAGAACAATATGAGAGAACGACGACTCGATATCAAGGCCTTACTCCTTGAAGACGAGGCACTTCTATGTCTTACACACCATCCGAGGTATGTCTGCAAAACACAATAATATCAGAATTAAATTGAATTAAAAATGCATTTATAATACTGTACAGACTCGGATGTGCGGACACAACCGTACCCTTCAGTAAAGCCGACCCATTGAACAGCGCCTCCAAAAGTATCTTCGTATCCGAGGCCCACATCTGTGAGGCATACGAGCGGTACTTAGTTATGGACCGATACTATGCCGAACGCATCGGACATAAGGCTGTCATTAATACTCCCATTTTTAAAGACACCAAAACTCCGGACCCTTTCGTCGAGACATTCAACGACACGGAGTCTAATAGAGCGGCAAAAGTGGATCACATATATATGGACGAGACATTGTTTGGTGCGGCGGCCAGTTGTCTACAGGTATGCTTAAGACTGCAACATTGGAACAATTATTGTAAAAATGATTGAAACTTAAGTATAAAAATATACTTTACTTTAGGTAACAATGCAGGCGACAGACGTGTCCGAAGCGTTCACACTATACGACCAGTTGACTCCATTAACGCCCATAATGTTGGCTTTGGGCGCCGCGACCCCTATTTTCAGGGGCTATTTGACGGATAATGACTGCAGACTTGGCGTCCAATTGGAGTCCAACGACGACCGGACGGCTGAGGAGAGGGGAGAGAAGCCATTGAAACACAACGCATACCGTATTCCCAAATCAAGAGTTTCGCCGATTAATACTTATTTGTGTAAATCAAACGCCGCATACAATGACAGTCCGATTGTCTATAATAAGGAGTATTACAATGAGATGATCAGCGCTGGCGTCCCCTCACCGCTGGCCCAACATATCGCATACCTCTTTATTCGTGATCCGGTGGTTATATCACGTGATAAATTAGATCAAGACTTGGAGACAGAATCGGAACACTTTGAAGGCATTCAGTCGACTAATTGGCAGACAATGAGGTTTAAACCGCCGCCTCTTAACCAACAGTCCATCGGTTGGAGAGTAGAGTTCCGTCCGATGGAGATCCAGATGACTGACACACAAAACGCCGCCTTTTCTGTGTTCGTTATATTGTTGTCCAGAATTGTATTGCAATATAAACTCAATTTCATTATTCCTATGACTAAAGTAAGATTGAAATAAATATATTATTCATATATTAATATTTATAAACTATCAACAGATACACCAAAACATAACAGCCCTTAAGAGGGATGCCGTCAATAGATGCAAATTCTGGTTCAGAAAAGACATCTTCACTCAAAATACACCACAAATTAATTGTTTCAAAGAAAATAGAAACAGATATGAGAGCGAAGACGAGTCGTATATAGAGATGTCTATCAATGAGATAATGAATGGTTAACGGTTGGAGAGTAGAGTTCCGTCCGATGGAGATCCAGATGACGGACACACAAAACGCCGCCTTTTCTGTGTTCGTTATATTGTTGTCCAGAATTGTATTGCAATATAAACTCAATTTCATTATTCCTATGTCTAAAGTAAGATTGAAATAAATATATTATTATTTATTTTATATAAATATTTATAAACTATTAACAGATACACCAAAACATAACAACAGCCCTTAAGAGGGATGCCATTAATAGATGCAAATTCTGGTTCAGAAAAGACATCTTCACTCGAAATACACCACAAATTAATTGTTTCAAAGAAAATAGAAACACATATGAGAGCGAAGAGGAGTCATATATAGAGATGTCTATCAATGAGATAATGAATGGTTACGGAAATGAATTCCCGGGTTTAATACCACTAATCAGGGAATACGTCAATAGTATAGCACTTGACGTCCAGACCTATAATAAAGTGCAACAATATATCCAATTGATTGCCGACAGAGCGTCGGCTAAAGTCAAGACAACCGCCCAATGGATCAGAGATTTTGTGCGAAAACATGCGGACTATAAATACGATTCTGTGGTCAACGAGAAAATTACTTACGATTTGTTAAACACTTTAAATCGCATTCAAAATGAAAGTGAATGTTAATGAATTGGTCGGCGATTATTAAATGTTTTAATAATTTTATTATTTAATTTAATGATTATTTTATTTTGAAATATATTCAAAAAATATTGATACAGTATATTGATAAACTATATAAACTAATGTTAATTTATAAAGTTATGGTTTGTTACAAATACTACTGCAAATAGTTTGTTGTAAACTTTATTTTCATTCCGAGTAATCTATACAATTGACCTGGAGGGTGACCGTTTATTTTGTCCACCCTATTTGACTATGCCCATCGTGTAGATAATAAAAAAAAGTAGGATAGGAATGTAATATCAAGAAAAAATTTTATGTTGGAATTTTCGAGATATTGCCGTCGGGAATAAACCCTCCCCCATATACTCCCCCATAGAAAATTCAAAAAATGCGCTTAAATGTGTTACGGCTAACACTTGATGATTCATGATGATATATAGACTCATCAAAATTATGAATTCATATTCATAAATAGTAATTGAACTTTGATTACT